CTGGTTTTCTTTGAATGTAATTACTTCTTGTTGGTGAAATACAAAGGGTACTACAGAAACCTGAAGCTAGTAGAAATAAACTTTCAACAGTTCTTTGTATTTTATTTTTATGATTCGCTTATTTTTCTTATCTGTTTATTTGAAGAAAGTCTTTGGGGTCTTCTATCCAGGTTATTCCTCCTGATAGGATTGTTTGGTTCACTTAAGCTTGTAACCACTCTGAATTACATTTAAAGATTCCGTTATTTTAGTTTGCCTAGGTAATAAAGGCCAGCATAAAGACATTCCTAATTTTCACAGTGAGTCCCCCCCGCAATGTTTTAGTAGTGAAGAGTTGATAGTCTTTCATCTACCTTGAGAGAGTGATGTTTCTACTTAACCGTGAGCAATTCAGAAATTGACAGTCCAAGTTCTATGAGCAAACTCTTCTCCTCTTGCGTTCCTTCTTTTTTTGACTGGGACATGAGACTTATTTCAGTATTTTATTGATATTTTACACAATCTATCTTAAAATACGAAGTGTATTTAGAATTGATCAAGGAGTGCTATACGTATAAAGTGTAAATCATGAAAACAGAAAGCCCATGAATACTGTTTTGACAAATACCAGGAGCAGGCGTGTATTGGTGGTATGATCAGGCTCAGTGACTACCGGGGTTTGTTAGACAAAGTTCGCATAGTCGCATGTTGGAGAATGTGAGTAGAGCAGCCACTACCACCGCAGCAAGTTCAGTAGCATTTCTCAGAATAGGCACCTATGCCGACTTTCGGATCTCAAAATACTCATCAAGAGTCACGCAGTTTCAGATAACACGAGTCCCTCAAATTCACATCGGAGCTTCTGGAAGCTGAGCTGTCTCCAAGCTCGTGTTAAATGCCTAAAGCTGAAGCCATTTGTAGGTAGCTTCATCTGGCTCTGTGCTGGAGAACTGTCCTCTTGGCCAGGTGTCTCTTAATCAGTCTCAGGGTTGCACATGGACAATCTGACCACAGAGCATGGTTGGCCAGGAATGTAGCCCCCATTTATCAACACGTTCAAGCTTAGGCAGGCTAAATATGTTCCAGGGACGCTTCTGAACTCAATGCTGTGGTGTGAGAACAAAGATCAGATCCTCGGGCTTCTTTGGCTATGGCGTTTATATGTAAATAACTGAAGGTGGGAAAACATAGGTCTGATCAAAACAGTTTATAAAGGATTATGGATAGTGGGCAGGAGCTGAAAGGGAGTAGATATCACAACCAGGCTAATTTAGAGAGAGTTCATCTACAAAAGGGGTGGATTACAAAGATGTGTGTGGCATTCTTGCTAGTGAAATACAAAGGATAGTGCAAAAACCTGAAGTCAGGAGACACAAACTTTCCACAGCCCTCACACCGATTGGACAGTGTAAGGAAGACATTACTAGAACACAGAAGGAAAGAACATCTCAGAAATGTGCCACTAGAGGAGAAAAGTGACTTAAAGAGGAAAACAAACATAGTTGAAACTATGATAACAATATGATTTAATAGCATTTTAAGGTCTTCATATCCACAGGAAAATAACTAATTGGCTTAGGAGTGGAAGCCACGGTATCCACCTGTGCTCAGTCTCTACCCACCCTTCCTGCTGGCTAAGTCCTCCGGAAGTCAGAAGACGTGGGAAGGAGCCTCTTGATGTGACCTGGGCAAAAGAGCTCCCTTAGATAGTAAGCAAGGTGAGAAGAATGGAGTGCAGATTAGTGAAGGGGGTATGTCAGGTCGAACATTTCGGACATGCAGCCCAAGATGAGTCACTGACTAATAATTGCATCAGTTTGTAAGTCAACTAAAATTTCTACTACTTCATACATGTACTCATCAGTAAAGTTTCTACACATGCACATTCACAAGAGTTATCACAACGTGCCAATCATATTGATTTTCTTCATAGAAAATCTCGTCCCCAATCTTGCCTACTTTATGCTTTTTAGACATTGTTCTGATTGTATGTCTTCAAAGTTTTCCCAAAATGTTCTCATTTTCCAGGATCTTTGCCGCTGGTCTATTTATTCCTCCTCAAAACGTTATGAACTGCCATGTAGCCAGAGTATGTATTGATATTGAGTCATTCTAACTCATTTATCACTTCTGTCTTTCTGGTGCTGAGCTTGGTGCAGTGCCATATGTCTCCAGGTCAGAAGAACGTTTTCTAAAGCTTTGTCTTTTTCAGCAATCATATAGATTGACCCATGCATGTCGTACACTTAGGATATCCCGTGGAGAATTCCTCTGGTCTAGGATTGTCAAAACTTAGAACATCTGAATATTGAACTGAGTTAAGTTTCTAAACACTGTCAGCGATATGATGTTGTCTTGTGGAGAGGACTGTGTGAAGAGGAGGTAAAAGGGAGTTGTTATTTTTTTAATCACTTATACTGATCTAGTTGATATTTTAGGTATTTTTAAACTTGATACTTAATTGGTCACATAAACATTACAAGCCAGACAATCTATAGTAAAAGCAGCATTTTAAGAATCCAGAAAAATATAATCTGAGGGCATTTTAAAAATCTTTACAACTGAAGAAAATATGCAACGGAAGCCAAAAAGTCCAGTGTTCTTTTGAAAAATTTATTCTAGCCATACTGCCTCTTTACTTAAAGCCCTCGGTAGTTGTAATATAGCAGTTGGCAAAAATCCAGCATCCTTAACATGTCCCCAAAGGTCTGGATGTCCTGGCCTTTGTTTTCTTCAGCTTCTGTCTGCTCATTGTTTCTGTGCTACCACTGCTTGGATCATTCTTATCTATGTTTGTTCCTGAAAAGCTTCTGCCCCTCCTTTCATCTTTCAAATTCACTGTGGCTTCTTCAAGTAAGCCATCCCTTCCCTTTCTGCCTCTCTAAGGAATCCTGATACTCTAACAGCATCCTTGACTCTTTCTTCAGATTCCTTACCATACTTTGTAGTGACACATTTGTTTTTGGATCGTTTCTCTCACATCTGCCTTGCTTGTTCCATGGAGTCTAATTTTTCATTATGGTATCTCTACATTTGTGGCACAGGACCACCTACAGTGTTAGGATGGTAATGTTCACATCCACCCCTAGCACAAATTCACATGGTGAAACTTAATCTTCAATGTGAGGGTATTTGGAGATGGGACCTTTGAGAGGTGATTAGGTCTTGAGGGCAGAGACCTCATGGATGGAACTAGAGCACTTAGGAAACAGGCTCCAGAGACCTGCCTTGCCCCTTCTACCTTGTGAAGACACAGTGAGATGCCCCCTCTGTGTGTCAGGAAGCAAGTTCTGACTTGTCCAAGAACATTCCAGTGACATGGTTTTGGACTTCTGGCCTCTATAACTGTAAGCTATAAGTTCCTATTGTTTGTAAGCCACTCAGTTTATGGTATCTTATTATAGCAGTCTAAGTAGACCACGACCAGCAGGTAGTCATGTTTATGGTTAGAGGAGTCACTGTGCAGCAGTGACTTTGCTGCAGTGTGGTAAGTATTAAAGGAGTAATATGCAAAAGCTCTCACAAAGTGAATCAGGAAGGTCCCACATGCACATTCAGGCTAATGGGTCCTTGGAGAAAATATTCAATCTTTCTTTTAAGTAAATACAATAGCAAGCACACACCAATCCACTTGGTGACATAGGACTAAATGGTGGAGAATAAACGTAAGCAGTTACTTCAAAACTCAGTATGTAGTGTGGTGGTAAGCTTGAGGAACTGAGAGTGGAGCCTTGTGTTCTGACAGTGCTGTGAGCCATATGAGTTTTGCCACATTACTCACTCTGTGAAGACATGAGTAAGAAGGGCTGGATGAAGTCATTTCTCATGCTTTCTTCAGCATTACTGCAGATGACAATTAGAGGAAAGTGCACAAAGTATGAGGGACATGTAAGTGAAAGTTAGGGAACATTTGGAAACTTTGGTGAATTTTTTTTCTACCTTATTTTAGAATTCTATTTCTCTCTTCTGTTTTTTGCGCTTTGTTTTTGTAGCATTGGTAGGTGGAGAAAGCCTAATGTAAGGCTAAGGTACCCAGCTTAACTTCTTTTCAGTGGGGATCTCGTCTTTTTGGTCATGTTAACTAGAAGACAGTTTCTGGAAGATATGGTTTAATCCCCTGTGGTGTAGATTTATAAAGAATCTTTGACGTAAAAGAGTCCAGATGGAATAAATATGCTTTAGTGAATACTTACACAAGACAGAAGATTCTGAAAAGCACATTTATAAACAGTCTGTGCAAACTTAGTAAATAAATGAGTTGACATCTACATTCTGTGCATACATTTCAATCCAAGGAAACATTTCCATAATTAAATTCTCCATAACAAATACCCTCAAAAGCACAGGTTATAAATGTTCATTTTGGATTCATAATGAACTGAAAACTAAGTTATTACTCTGGAACTGATATGATACTTGATATCATCATAATTGCAGCCACATGAAAGGTTAGAATAGGGATGTGCTATGATTTTCATCTGGAAACTCTTTTATTTGGTGCAGACCAAACTGAGATTTTAACTGGGCAGTTCTTTAATTATGAATAAAGAAATTCATGTTGGCTCTCTCCTATTTGAAGACACTTTTACTTTTGTTCAGACAAGTTTCATACCTTGCATGACTTTTAAACACTTACCTACAGAGCTAAATTTTCACCTATAACAAATCTAGTTTAGAAGACAAGGATTAAAATTTTATCTCTAAACCTAGGTGAGGTGACACATGGCTGTAATTCCAGCTCCATGGGAAATCAAAGCAAGAGGATCACAAGTTCAAAGTCATCATTTGGGCAGTTTGATGATTTACAAGACCTGGCCTTGAAACAAAAAATTTAAAAAGGGCTGGGGATACAGTTCAGGACAAAGGCCCTGGGTTTAATTCCCAGTGTGGCAATAAAAAATTATCTTTAAATCTGAAAAAAAGTTTAGATTCTTAGATCTAGTAATTAGTACTGATTCTAGTAGTTATATTATTAGTCAGTAAAGGTAAGGATGTGATGATAGGAAAGTAGAGTGAAGCGATATGATGTTTTCATTTTGAAAATTGAATGTTTTGTGCAATGCTGGACCTTTAATCTATCACCTTTGACTGGAAAATGAAGAAGGCCAAGAAAAGTGAATTTGTTGTTGCGTTCGGCCATTAACTATCTATCCAAAGTTTCACCTAGCTTTGGGGCAAAGAGGCTGTGATTCAGCTATGACTTGAATTGTCACATTTAGGGCAGAACCTTGGCCATCTTCTGTCCAAAATTATATCTGTAGGTATTTTTAGGGATTATCTAAGGTTCCTCATGTGTAGATCTGAACAGCCTTTCAACTACCTTATTAATTTATCACCTCTGGATGAGTTTTTATAGATAATTCCAGAAGTAGATCCTGGTATGTCTCATTGTTTTATACATGAAAAAGAATTTTTCAGTTTGTGGGTTACAAGGAATGAGTTGGCCAAGGAAGCTGTTTAAGAAAAGGATGAAGAGTGGAACTGAGGGATATGAAATAGAAAATATGTAAGGGCCGGGGATGTAGCTCAGCGGTTCGGTGGCCTGCCATGCAAGCGCAAGGACCCGAGTTCAAACCCCGGTACCCCCCCAAAGAAATAGAATACATGTACTCCTCAGTCTGATTCATAGAAAATGAAAACTCCCCACTCTGGTAACTTCCATGAGGACAAAGATTTGAGTTTGTTTGGCTGGCTACTTTACCTCCATATGACAGGAATGCTTCACCCAAGGTAGGCTCTCAAATATTTGTTGAATAATGTTAAATTTGGTTAAAGTGAAACAGAGTTTGGGGCATATGACCCTGCCCATGCCTATGGATCATCCTAATTTGTGTGTGAATTTAAAGAGAATAGCAAAGATGTATTTTATTCAGTACATTTGTTAAAGGGAAGCTTTAGACCTTCAATCCTCACCTTGATTACCCCTAGGATATTTGTACTGCCCCTCACTTGTCAATTATCTTGTTAACATTTCTAAGTATTTCCAGAAATCCCCAAAGAATTCTCATTTTAAAGATAATATATTTCTTTACAGAATTTCTTAAAGTGCAAAAGGTGTCATCTATTGATTTGTTGGTGACTATTAGTGCTAGGGTTTGTGGAAAGAGTACAGTTGTAATCTTCTTTTGGTAACAATCAGCATAAACTCTGAAAGCATACAATGTCAATCCAAAATTATAATGTTTTAAAATAAATATGGCTTCTTTTGAAGGGAAAACCTGAACTACTATGTGGAAAATGAAAGTGTACTCATTATGTAGTCATCATAACGTCTATAACAGTGTGTCTTAAATTATTTTAAGGCAAAGGATCAGATTTCTGAAAATTTCTAATTTGTCACAGAAGAATGCATTAAACATAATGGAAATGCATTTTTTAAAAGAATCACATGGTTTTATCACAATATCACAGTCAAATTATCATAAAATATTTTCTAAACATCACTCCCAGTTTCTGCACTTTTCTTGTCATGACAGGGTTACAAAGCATTTGTGGGTTAGCCCAGGTCTACAGAGATATTTGAGTAGCAGAGTTCTCTAGGATTATCATCCTAGGTACCACTAAAATGTAGAGATGCGAGAACACAGTCACTCTCTTCTGGACCTCTGCCACGAAACAGATCCCACACATAGAGGGAATCAAGTTCGAGTGCAAAATATACTTAGTGCCAAGAGAAGTACACACTAAGCTTCAGTAGTCATAAAAGGAAGGCTGGGTACCACTGGGAGTGATTCGTGATAGAAAAGCACCATGAAGTGGACCGGTGAGATATCAGTGAGACCTTAGATAAGTGAGGTAAGGTCAAGAGAATAAAGGAAAAAAAGTACATTCTAGGCTGAAAAAAAAGTGAGAAAAGGTATGAATACAAATAACTGGCGATGGTTCTAGAGAATTAATTGCTTTGATTTGGGTGGGAGTATTGGGTAGGGCCTTTAGTAGGTAGCATACTCTCCTGTCTTTCCCCCAAATTTCATCCCTTTTCCCAGGATTCTTCTACTCTCTAGACATATCATGTTACCATACATGCCAAGAGATTTTTGCCGTTGTAATTACATTTACTAATTGACTGTTTTAAAATTGAGAATTTATTCTGGATTATCCAGGTGTGTGTCTAATTTAAGAACATGAGCCACTAAAACCAGGCCTTCTTGGGTTTTTGGCAGAAGGCAGAAGGTGAAGTCAGAGAGATTTACAATCACAAAAAGATATCAGCACATCTCTGCTGGCTTTGATGAAGGAGGACTACCAATCAAAGAATTTGAAGCTTACAGAAACCAGAAACAATCCCTGGTCAACTCAGCAAGGAAACAGGACTTCAGTCTTATAATTGCATGGAACTGACTTCCGTGAACCATCTGACTGCTCCTGGAAGTGGATTTCTCTGAAAGCCTCTAGACAAGAGCCAGGTAAGGTAGATCCTTGATTTTGATCTTAAGAGATCTGAATCAGGGTTTGCATCTGAGTACCTCTTGGATTTCTGACCTACAAAACTGTGAAATGATGAACAGATGTTTTAATCTGCTAAATTTCTGGCAATTTGTTATGCATCAGTAAAAAACAATACAAGGGCATCCTGGACTTGGCTTTAAAGACAGAACTAGGTACAGGTGTGAAAAGGTTAATTGTTATGCAGTTAGGGAAGTGTCCTAGGGAACTTGCAGACTGAGGTCCAACACTGGCCAAGAGATGAGTTTACACAACCACCCGTCTCAGTTTCTTTCCTTTCTTCTCTTCCTTGGTAGTGACCACGGGTAAAAACAGTAGTTCAAAGCAGAGAAGAAAATACCTTTGGCTGTCCCGGAAACAAACTCTCTGAAGATTTTTTTTTTTTTTTTCTCTTTGAGATGAAATTACTTTCATCTCTAAAGATCTGTTTAAAGTTTAAGCCCGAGCTTCACGTTTCTCTTGTGAAGGAATGTCTAAGAGCAATGAAAGAAAATAAAAACTGGTGCTTTGAGGGCACCACATGATTCATTTTGTCCCAGATTTTAGGGAGTATTATTCTACCTTCCCAGGAAAATGTAAATCCTGAACAACTATTGTGGTTTTGGAAGGAGAATCATGCTCAGCTGACTTTCAGACTTTAACTTGATCCTTCCCATGGTCTTTGCTTATAGACGCTACCAACAAGCTGGATTTCCAGGAGACTGTGCTTCTCTCTCTTGCTCAAACATGGACCAAAGCTTTTTCTTTTGTTTCCACTGACACACTTTAGATAGGCTGAACTTCAAAAAGGTAATGATAACTAGGTGGAAAACATTAAAAGTACACAGAATATATAAGCAATACCCGGTTTGGCCCTCAAAGCACAGGGTCTGAGTCTTCCTGCCGAACGCTCCACACGGCACTGTTTCTGGGGCCGAGGCCTGCCCCCTCCTACCATTCTCAGGAATACTCTTCACGTCCTGGCTCCTCGGGGTTGCCTATCAGGGCTTCCCACTTGGATGCAGAGTTATAAACATTATAAACGTGTGTATCTTCTTTTTTTCTTGTCTTTTGGGTCCTTTATTTCTTTTTCCTCATTGGGTTTATTGGTACATTTTAGGTGTACAGTACAGTTACATTCATCATTGGGATCCTGTACCTCTACACGACAGGTCTTGGTTCTCATTTTTTCCCCTTATCCCTGCCCGCCCTTCATCCCCTCCTGCCCTCCCCATTTACAAACACTTTATTTCCATTTTTCATTTTCTCATATTTTTTCCTTTCCCTTATTACCTTTCCCCTACACTTCCCATTTTCCCTATGACTTTAGCCCTTTTCTTCCTATTTCACATTGTCAATTATCTCATCAGGATCTTATGTACTATTACAGTTTGTCCACACCAAAGAAACTATTTGGTATTTACACATGTGTGATTTATTTATTTCACTTAGGAGTATGTCCTCAATATGTACCCATTTTCTTATGAATGAATCTAATTTCTCATTCTTTATGGCTGAGTAGTGCTCCATTTTAAAGAAGAACCACATCTTTTTTATCCAAGTGATGGGCAAATGGGCCGTTTCCAAGTTTTAGCTATTACAAACTGTGCCGCTATAAACATAGGTGCGCATATATCACTGTGGTAGGAGTCTTTTTATTCTTTTGGAAACATACCCAGCAGAGGGATGGCTGGGTCAAATGGAACCTCTAGTCCCAGCCCTTTGAGGTGTCTCCATATTGTTTAATATGTAACTTTAAAATACATGAAATTAGCAGGAAGAAAATTAAAATACTGTATCTCATGAAGTATTTACACATATAGGCCTTTTGCGGCGGGTGATCAACTCTACTCTCTTAATCATAGAACAGATAGCTTGGACTTTCTTCTTCATGAAGACCTGGAGAATGGAGCACCCTTCACCTCCCATGAGGATCTCAGTTCTTGCATCCCAAAGTGAAGAGTCCAAGATATCGCTTTGTCTTTCTGCTAAGCTTCCTATGTATATATTGCCAGAGGTGTGGCTTTCTCTGCTTAAAGCAGCGTGCAAACACATATAATCTGTCTAGCGTAAGGTTGAAAGCAGTTGAAGTGAAAGACTTGTAGATGAAAGTGTGTCTGCCAGACTTTCATTTATTTTACTTCACTCCTGTGGGCATTTGAGATTGCAATCGTTATGTTAAGGAGATAAGGGTAGTCTAAAATAGCGTAATAATTAGAGTCTTCTTAGAATATAGCTTACATAAATATCTAATAGAAGAATATTCTCTTCATGCAAACTCATCCCATTATACATTAGGGAGGAAATAAAAATAATGGATCAGTATAGAAGGAGAAGGCCACAAATCGAGTACAGATGGAGTTCTTATTCGGAGGTTGTGGGATGATCCTTTTATCCCTGTGTCTTAAGAATTTTCTGACTTTGCCAAGAAAGAAATCAAAGCTTTTCTGGTCCCATAGGTCTGGGGTTAAATACTAAGGCCGTGTAGAAAGGGTTGCAGAGGAAGGCTCTGATGTGCACTAACGTTTGCCTGGAGATTCATTGATTTTATCGATATTGCCATTTGGGACAGTGAAGAGGCTGAAAGAAATGGCATCTAGAACAAAAGAAAACGAGGTCCAGATTCCAGTGCACAGTCATGGATTATGTCCAAGCTGAGCCTTGGAGTGAGG